ACTTCCACTTAATGAACAAAGACTACTTCATTAATATATTATTTATATTAAGAAAAAAACAGAAAAAATGATATATTTATTAAAAAAAACTGAAAAAGATGAAAGGATTACATTTCAAGAAAATAGAGGAGATGAGGCGAAAATGATCCAACACCAATATAACTTAATAACTTTATTTTTAAAATTTAATTTCTTTTAAATTATAAAAACCGGTATCAGAGCTTAATAAATGGTATCAGAACATAATTAAAGTCTTAATAAATACCGATAATGACAATATCATAATAGGATACAATATTCTCTGAGTTTTTAAACTTTACTTCTTATTAGATTTTAGTTATTTTATTCTTTATAAAATTCACTTTATATAGTTTAAAAAATTGATTTAATAAATGATATTATAACATAATTAAAACTTCAATGATATATCAAAATATACAATTTTAATTAATTATAAATCAAACTATCTAATTATAAAATCAAAATTTCTCATTGTCAATTATATGAGACATTGATATTACTTAAAATTAAAATTGAAAAATCTAATTATAATTACATTATTTAATAAAATGAAAATTTAAGACTTCAAATATCCAAATAAAAGAATTTAATATAGAATGTTATTAACTGTGTTAATATTTTTTTTTTAGAGCCTGTGACTTAAAAAGTAGAACAGACGTGTTAGAGTTGCTAATGAATACAGAGAAAATGGTAGTTACGTCAAGTTGTTATACAAGCTTTTTTTTGTGTGTGTTGTTATGTACTTGTGTTAGAAAGCTTTTTCACTTCTATATTGTTATGTCAAATGGTGCTGCAAGTTATGTCTTTTGCCTCTAAGTGATTTTAGTGTTTACATAGCCAATAGTATAAATTGAGTTCAAATGGTTGGTTTTCTCGTCACTTGCTTTATTGCAAGAAATTTCCGTGAGAGGCACACAATTTTTCTGTTAAAAATTTTTTTGCTGTCTTTTCATTATGTCTACTCTAAAAATATCAATGCTCAGAGACATTAATGATTGAATTGATAAATAAAGGATTGTGGCTCTCTGTAAAATTAAAGTACTAAATATATGCTTTAGGCTAAAGAAAATCATACATAGTGATTCTTAAAAAATATTTTTTTTTCAAGTCATAATAAAATTTACAGGCAATTAAAAACTACTAATACATTTTTTATACAGAGATAAAATTTTGGGAGAATCCCAATTAAATCCAGCCGAAATGCTTAAATTCATATTTAGGCCTACACTTTTAGCAAATTTCTAATTAGGCCATGAGATCTAATTAGGGATTTTTGAATGTTGTTAAATCACCAAAATGTCCCTCTTCAATTAAAAAGAAAACTTGATTAATATACCTCTCCCAAGTAATTCCTCATCTCTTATGATTTTTTTAGACCAAAAAACATATAAGTAATTTTACAATGTTTGAAATTTGTATATATAACTTATACTATTAAAAATATTTTAATAAAACATGTTAAATTACAAATATAAGTAAAATTATAAATATTTTTTATTTTCAGTTCTTGTAATTTACGTTAGTTTTATTTATTTAAGCAATGTTGGATCGAATTGAAAACGTAAATGATTACGATTTAATATTAAATTTTTATTATAATTAAAAAAATTTAAAATTTTAAAATAAATATTTACAACCTGAAAAGAAAAAAATATTAAAAATATTTATTTAAAGATTACATATATTATAATTTGAAATGTTTTATGAAAATATTTTGAAGATTTTAGTTATATTACAAAATTTCAAACACTAAAAAATTATTTATATTTTTTTGTCTAAATATTAATAATAAGAGATGATGAACCACTTTAGAGGGATAAAATAATCAATTTTCATTTTTAACTAAAGAGGGGCATTATAGTTACTTAACAATATTCAGCAATTCCTAATTAGGTCTTATGTCCTAATAAAGAATTGTTAAAAGTGTAGGCCTCAATTTAATTTTAGTATTTCAGCAGGATTTAATTAGGATTTTCCCCAAAATTTTCACCATATGTGATTTATTACTTTATTTCACTTTCCATAAGTTGAAAGATAAATGTGTAATTTTACTCTTGATATTATTTTTTGCGTGTAATTTTACTCTCAATCTTTTTAATAGTGCAATTTTATTTTGAACTTTTTTTCTTAGTGTAATTTTATAATTACACCTGAAAAATAAGGTTAGGGCATTTTTACTCTAAGTGGTATATAAATATATATTAAAAGAAGATATGAAGTATATAGATTGAAAAATATCAAATAATTAAACTATTTAAAACAGAAAACATACTGAAGTAGCAGTGTAAACAATCGGTTTGTTTTCCGACAAGAAGAGAAAGAAAATAAGAAAATACAGAGAATTACTGCATAGAATGAATAGAGCAGGGCTGTAAGCTCATTGAAAAGAGAAAGAGAAAACACTTTCTTGCTGAGTCTGCAGCCATCCTCATTGCATCTATGAGTAGGGCATGTTCATCCCCATATGGCACCGTTTGGATGGAACCCATCCCTTGTTTGTTTGTTTGTTTTTTATTTATAATTTTTAATTAATTTTTATTTTTATTTATTTGGGTTAAGTTGGATTTAGTACTCTAAAATATTTTTTTAAAAATGCCTATTATTTTAAATTAATTAATTTTTAGTGTATTCAGCACTATAAAGTATATTTTCAGGAGTAATTAGTGTTTTAAATTCATTATTTTTAGTGCATTCAGTATTCAAAAATATTTTATTAGCAGTACTTAGTATCCTAAATTAATTAATTTCTAGTTTATCTATCATCCTAAAATATTTTTGTAGCACCTAGTATCTTAAATTAATTAATTAATTAATTTTTAACACAATAGATCAGAGAATGTTCATCCCCAAATAGCAGTGTCTAGGGATGAGGTGCTAACTTTCTTTCTTTCTTTTTTAATTTTAATTTTATTAATTTTATTTTTTTGTTTATTCAAATATATTTGTATGTAGTACCTTAAAATATTTTTTAGTAACACTTGGCATTACAAATTAATGAATATTCAGTGCATCTAGAAAATTGTTTTCAGTTAGTATTTTTTCAGTAGCACCTAATATTCTAAATGAATTAATTTTTAGTGCACAGTAACACCCAATACCCACTAAAAATTTGTAGTCCATCTGCATGCGCTGAAAATTAATTAATTATAATTTTACAATACTGGGTGCCACAAAAATATATTTCAGGATATTGGATGCACTAAAAATTAGTTAGTTTAGGATAATTAGTGCTGCTGAATTTAAGATATTGATAGCTGATTCATGTTCTCACCTCTATTTTGATATTTTGTGCACTTTGTGGATATATTAACCCTCTGATCCTCTGTTTAATCTAAGATAAATGAAGATGACAAAATGAATTTTTTTAATGAATTCAATTTTAAAAAATGACAATTTATTATTTTACAAAATTTTTTTAGTAATTACCAATAAATTATTACAGCAATGAAAGCATAAATAAATATATTTTTTATTCTTTGTGCCTTGCACGGAAATTTAAAAGTGATCAAAAGATAGAAATAAACAAAAAAATTGTCTACAGGTATATATAACGTATTATTTTAAAATTTGTTACCTTAGCTATACAATTATAAATAACAAGGGAGAATCCGTTTAAATCCGGTTAAAATATTAAAATTTAAAATCAAGCCTTCATTCTGAACAAATTTCTAATTAGCACTAATTAGAAATTTATGAATATTATTAAAAGACCAAAATGTCCCTCTATATATTTTTTCCTTACAAATTCTTTTTTTTTAAATATGAAAATAATAAATTATGACATTTTCCTCAATCCACATGAATACCTACTCTAGCACTCTAAAAAAACTGTAAAAAGTTCGTTATTTTAATAAGTTTTTCATTCTTAGAATATACGTGTGTTCTGTTAAAAAAAAATGTATGTGTTTAACTAAAAAAATTGTGTATATATGGAGGATGAATCAATATTAAAACCGAGCACAAATTAAACCCATCCAAAATTTAAATCTAGCAATGACCTACACTATTACATTGATGAGGGTGCTGGAGTAACTATTAATGTGAATTAAGAACTGTGTTGTAATTTTCTATCATCTACTAAAGATTTACTATTTTCAAATTTCAGGAAAATCCAGCAAAAAAAATTTAGAAAAAGAATTATTGAGGAAGAAAAATATAGAGGTAACAACTAATATTATAACCATAGAGGGGTATTATAGACTTTTAACAACATTCATAAATCCCTAATTAAGTCTCTTGGCATGATTAGGAATTTATTCAAAATATAGGCCTAATTTTGAATTTTAGTATTTCAGTTGGATTTAAATAGGATCCTTCCAAATACGAGTAACAATTTATTTTAGTTTACAAATTGTTGCAGTCATGCAAATTAAAAATTTAAAATATATTTTTGTTTTAGAATTTGTTTCTTTCTTTTAGAATATTTGATGCATATTAATAATAATATAATCAACAATTAACAAGATCCAACGCAGCCATTGAGTGTTTTAATTTAAATAAAAAATGTCATTGAAGATGCCTATAATAATTTATTTCCAATGATAAAAGAAGAAAAACCCGTAAATCACAACATTCGGTACATTTTATCAAGAGTTTAATTATATTCTTTTCAATTTTAAAATATTGAATGATTATCACTCCCAAACTTGCTTTTTCTTTTTTGTGAAAAAAACTACTAGTTATAGTTGAGATGAACTAACAACTACAAGTAAGATTTGTAAATTTGATCCCTTATATTATTTTATCACAGGTCGTTTTTATCGTAGATTAGAAACAAAGGACCGGAGCAATAGAGAAAATAGTGAAGCATGGAGCATAATAAAATTGCAACACGACATCATTTTATTCTTTATCATAGATAAGAAGCAAACAAGCTAGCGAAAGAGAAGCCATAAAAGCTGCAGAGAGCATAACATCATAGTACCATCACAACATTTTATTCTTTATTATAATAGATAACAAGTAATAAAGCGGTGGGCTTAAGTAGAAACAGATTGAGACTTGGCGGAACGAAACTTGAGAAAGTTTGGAAAGGTAAATTCGTCAGCTCTGTAGTGCCACTGTGTAAAATGGGCTAATTCAGACCAAGTGAAGTTAGGATAATTCCTTGTCCCATCTAAGCTCAAAATATTTGAAGGAGGTTGAACCACCTTATCTCCTTTAGGGTTCATAAAGAATGCCAAGGACCTCCTATCACACTGGTTGTTCACTACAGCCCTGTGTCGACTGCTCTTGTACCTCCCATTTGTTAATGCCTACGACAAAACCACATTGAAAATACCAATTCAATTAAATTGAATGCTAAAAATGTATAGAGAATAGGTTTATGGAATAGGATACATATGCGTACCATGAAGGTATCACCAATGTTGATGACAAAGGAATTAGGAAGAGGTTCAATAGTAAACCATTTGTCGCCTGAGAAAACTTCGAGTCCTCCAACATGATCTTGGTGAAGTATAGTGAGTGAGGTTGGGTCACGATGTGGTCCTGTGCCTAGGACTTCAGCAGGAGCTTGGCAAAAAGGGTAGTAGTTGCATCTCATCAAGGAGCATCCATCTGAGAAAAAGTCCCTCAGATACATCTGATCTAACCCTAAGCTTATTGATAGCAAATCCATCATCTTCATTCCTAACTCCTTCATTGCTTCACAGTACTTTTGGAAGACATCCCTGAGAAATAAACCAAAATATGAATAAATCAATGTTTTTCTATACACATGTTTATTAGGAAAACATTACGTACCCAGTTTCATAAAAGTCTTGGCCTAAAGTGGAGACAAAGTAGTCTCTAACAGCAGGTTGTGGATTATCATGAGGTAGCAGGAAAGTGAGGGTCTCCTTCCAAGTTAGGTTAGAAGAAAAACGTTCAGAATGAGCACCAGAATAGCCTGATAAGGAACCCTTAGGTTTATAGGCCTTTAGTTTTGCATCAATCGGTTGCTTAAAGTAAGCATCTGTACGCTCATAAGCCTTCTTGATCAAATCATCATCAACTCCATGATTGATCACTACAAAGAAGCCGTGCACTAAGCAAGCCTCCCTGATTTGTTCAACAGCTCGATCGATGGCTTCTTGTTCCCCACGGAGGACTCCTCCCAAGTCTACAATTGGTGCTTCTAACTGACCTTGGGCTTGTACCAAGTACTCCTTAGACCATACACAGTTTTTGGGCAACTCAACCTCATTTCCAAGCTCACATGGAAACACAAGTTCTCCTTCTTTCCTCTCCTCGTGCTTTTGTTCACTCAACAACACACTTGAAGCCATCTTGTCCTTATGCTTATATTTATGATCGATGACAAGCACATATGAAACTGATAGCCAAGAAGCTTCTTATATAGATGCATGTGTGACTAGTTGGGCACATTTATGGGATGCAATGTAATTTACATCTTTCCAAGTTAATTGTAAGGGTCCCTTGGTCGGATCAAAGATTCATGTACATGTAATAATATTGAATGGTTCATTCATTGAATAAAAAGGTGTTCATGCGTATGAATTGATTACTTTCATGTATATGAATTGATTACTAAGAGTATATGCCTTTACATTTGTTTGTTTTATTAAAAAATGTTCATGAATATGTAATTAATATGAAATGGATGGTTTCAGCTGGCGATGCACGCAATGATCGGTGGTGAATGAACCTCGTCATGAAGTTGACTAACCAAGGAATTAAATGTACCCTATATTTAGAATAAAGAAATGATGTAAATGAATCAAAGTAATTCATGCATACTTATTTATGAATTCAGAATGAGAACATGAGATGTATGTACATATTCAAATGGTTCATCCAGTGAATAAAGGTTTAATACATATATTGGTGTTCAAATAAAGACATTGCCATTAAGTTCTACCAATTTGATAAATTACTGGAGCTGGCTTGCCGTTAAACCATCAGATCGTTGTTATCGCTTGCTGTTGGATAGTGTCAACAGAAATAAATATTAACATCTTAATAATATTTTATTAAATTAGTATTAGTATGATTATTATCTACATTCCTGTGATGATTGTTGTTGTATTCTCTTCATCGCCCGAGTTAAACTTTCAAATTTCACAAATTAACCCCAATGTTAAGATTTGACAGAGTCCCGTTTTAAAAGTAGCACAAGTTTTTATTTAATAAAATAAAAAGAATTTAAAAGAACTTGCAAAAAATTAATATAAATTGCGCTAAGTGGAGAGACGCATTATTTTGATGTATAGATAACAGTTGTTTAATTTTGTTTTGGCGTAACAATTAATGAATTTGATATCAAATAAAAATGTTAATAAAATAAATTTCACGGTAAAATTTTTTTTAATTGAACATTATAAAAAAGTAAATTTTATAAGCTGATGGTACAATTTCAAAGATAAATTCATTTGAATAAATTTCAATATTATAATTTCAAGTGCAAATTTTCTAATAGTGAGTCTCAACAATATGTTATTTATTAAAATTAAAACAAGTTGAGATTTATTAAAATTAAAACAAGTTGAGAGTATGGGTTTGCATGAGGCCCAAATGTCCAATAAATCCACCCAAACCCAAAGAAAAATCACCCAGCCCAGCAAAGAAAAAAAGCTCAAAAAAGAATGGGCATATTTGGACTGGGCATTTCACGGGCAGAGCATCGGGTAGGATATGCTACCCTGCCCGTTTGGCCTTGCCCGAATTATATATATTATAATTTATGAAATAATATTAATATATTACATTTCTTTATAAAAAAAAGTTATCTCCCTCCTCTTTGCAATTTAATTTATTATTGTCATATGTCTGTAAGTTTTTCATTTTAGGGGACCTAATTATTCTAAAGTAGCAATGGTATCTTGCTTTTTAAGTTTTAACTTGTTTTTCGTGAGCTTTATTGAGTATATCCTATTGTGTGCTTCTGTTGCAATGTTGGCTATTTATAAGTCAATCTTCTTTTCTCTGCCATTAACAACTTCTCTTTGTTAGAGGATAGAGCTCATACATTACATATTTGTATAAATTAACAATTTTGAATATTAATACAAGGTAAAAAACAAGATTGGGGTAGAAGCAGGGAAAGAAAATTGGGATTTAATTATCTGAATTACATGTCTTATTTTTTATTTAATTTATATTTATTTTGTATTAATTTTTTATGAACAAGTCATATGATGGAAAGAAGTCTTTTAGTTGTGTGGACTGGTAACTGCATTGTATCGCATGATGAGTATTTACATATTAAAAGTGGTTATATTAAATTATTATAAGATTTCAAGATTTTTTTATTTTTCTTTTTACAATTTTTTTCACCCTATTTCAACTTGAGAGAACTAAGATTTTTTAATGCAAATAGTTATATCCTTATATTAGTATAAAACTGATATACATTGAAAAATATTATTAAAAGCTTCTGGTCAATAAAATATTAACAATTGTTAGGATTCGATACCACTTTTAATTAGGTTAAAACTTAATTCTTCAATTTTTTTTAAAACATAACTCAAGCTTGAATGAATCATCGCCTAATAATCTTATGTGGTAAAAGACTCGCGGATAAGGTTAAAAATTTCTGGTGTGGCCTGCTCCGTATGGATTGAATAGAAAGTTTTAAAACATTGTTAAATGCGGTTTATGAAAGAAGGTACTGCGGAAACAAATGAAGAAGAAAAACAAAACGGTCAAGAAGGCGCAGACGCTCGAGGAAGTAACCGACAACGGTGGATGACGGATGAGAAGCGCAGGTTTGCAATTAAGGGCCCGTTTGGAATGAAAGAAAATGAGAGGAGAGAACGGGAGGAAAATTTTTGATAAACTTGATTTAAAAAATTTAAAAGTTAAGATCAACAGCTTTTAAATTTTCTGTTAGATCCTCATGAATCAAGCCTCGCGTTAATTAAGGGACTGAGTAGTTAAAAAGTCAAATAACCCAAAAATTATTTTTTTCTTATTAAAATTGAATCAAATTAGCCAAAATTTATATAAATAAATTGAAATTATTAAAATTTGATCTCAATAGTTCAGATATTTATACTTTGGGGAAACATTATATATATATATATATATTTAACATTTTGTAAGATATAGAATCTTAACCGTTTAAAGCTGATCTGATGATGATGATCAATACAAACTTGTATAAAAATACTGCATTTCAGAGTTCATCACTAGCAGTAGAATAAACGAAACATACAAGCATTTAAAAATACAAGCATAAAATCTTTAAAAGGGACACAATTTAATTTGGATTTGTCTAATCATTACTGTATTTTTCATTTTTAAAAATAAGGGCGTTTTAAGAAAATAAGTTGTATAAACTAGGGCTTCTCGTGGGGCACGATTGGAAGCAACACATAATACTGATAATAGAGACCCCATATATACATTGTGAACCTCGTAATTAAGCACCACGCAAAGAAAACACACCCTAGCTTTTGACGGTGGAAAATTAATTCTACAAAACTGACTAGAATTAGAAATGAAATTCAATTAAAAAAAAAAGAATTAGAAATGAAATCAAAAACAAGAAATTGCTTCCCTTACTTTTCTTAGGTGTACGTGATCCCATATAGTGAAACCAGTGGTATATACTGTATAAAACAACAAATCCTAAGAAAAACCATACACCAGCAACCTATAAGAAGAAATCTAATTAAACAATTAACCTAATATCATAGTTCATAGTTAGGTCGACACAGATAGAGAGCTAGTTAGTAACATCTGGTAGTTTTTGCACCTACATTCATCATTCTGCATGATTTATCACCAAAAGGACTCAACAAACATAGATACATAATGGATTTATTTAAGCACAAAAAAAAAATTTTAGGATTAAGATTCTTTATTACTGATGTTGCCAACGGACACAAGGCTTTCCACGTGAGTACAACTATCATATATGATAGAGCCACATTTAACAACAAATGTCTTAAACTCATTAGTTGTCAGATTGAGTGTGTAAACATCATCCCCCATAGTACAGAAGACAATCTCATTCCTCCAAATAGTCATTGGATGTAACATGCGTGGACATGAGCTGCTAGTATATTTTTTAGTCCAAATCCATCTTCCCCTATTTGCACATATGTCCTCCTCCATCACCCACAAATGAACAATATAAGATCCATGAAGAATGACAGCAACCACAGCAAGTTTGTCCTCATATACTATAAGCCTTTTACTTCTATTATATTTTAGATCAGGCAATGGTATCAAGGTACACACTTCCTTTGTTAGGTCAATTGAAACTACCAGATTATCATCATTAGACGGAGTCGACGGGTCTCTACCAGAGAAATACATAACACCATTAACAGCGACATTTTCCCATTTACTAATTTTTATGCCCTCTAAGTTCTCAAATTCTACTTCCTTCCATGACCCAGCTTTTAATGAATAAATTTGCGCTGGATTAGCTGCAAAACAAGGTCCACAAACATAAATTCTCACTATTTTGTAATCATTGTCGATGGGACTGAACCCAAATCCTTGACGGTAAGAACTATTAAAATCCTTAATATTTAAGGGCAACTTTCTGAAGTGTCTAGTAGCTGGATTCCATAATAAAAGGGTAGGGGGAACTATACCATTTTCCTTTGTCTTCCATGGAAGAACTGTTTTTACCAAATTATCAACCACTTGAACACAGAGCAAGCCATTGCTGGAACCCACGATCACAAGATCAAAACAGGAATCGACCAAAGGTGATATTTGAATCTGAGTGACTTGCATGTTGTGACGATCCACGATGCGCAAATCTCCGAGCCATTTGAGTAGAAGCAAAGGGTTTTGATGACTGGAGTGATGGAGGTGGTCTTGGATGAAAAACGGAGTTTTGATGAGATTTTTCCAATCTTTGCACACACATTGAAATCGGATTAAGGATTTCACCGGAAGTCTTTTGAGAATGTTAAGTATGATGTCGCAGGGAACAAAAGGTATGTGGTCTTCCATTACTTTCATGATGCTCCCCCATAAATTGAAGAAGGAATCTGAGGGTTGACGGCGAGTCACTATCGGCGTTATTTGAGGGTTGATCTTTTAAAATATTTTAAAAAATTTTCTTAATAGAATTAAGTGTTTGAACTTAAATGTATAATTTCAAAATAAAGGCGAGATTCACGTAATTACTAATTAGAACAAAATATGAGGAAATTTATTATACTCTAAGATAAAATGTTACCGGGGTAAAATAATAAAAATAAAAAGTGCAAACGTAAGAAATTGAACTTAAAAAGTTTTTTTTTCCTTAAAAGAGATAAACTATAAAATATGTATCTAAATCTAAATGTTTATAAAAGTCATGGTTATTTGGGGTTATCACTGCCGATTCTCACCTCTAAATTTGATTCTCATTAAATGACTTTTAATTAAATATTGATGTTGATTTATTTTAAAGTGATTCCCCTTATTTATTCAATTTAATTCATTTTGATCTTTTATGGATTTCAATCGAATTTTATTTAGAAAGTGATTATAATTCCATACTACACTACCATGTTTTATTTATTTTTAATTAAAATCTGATTCAAGATTCTCAAACTCTAATGATCTAATCATGGTTATTTGGCATTATTGCCGCGGATTCTTACTCTCAAATGATTTTCATTAAATATCTTCTAGTTAAATATTGATTAATTTTATTTATTCAATTTTAATTCATTTTGATATTTGAGATTTCAACAGGTTTTATTTAATTAGGTCCCATAATTTATTATCATATTTAATTTTTTTATTAAGATCTAATTCAAGATAACATTTTCTAAATCAGAATCTGGCAGTAATTAGTTTTTAGATATTAAAGGCCGTTCTCATCTCACATCCTGCTTAAATAAAAAATAATTTTTTAATTGGATTTTGAATTTTTCAGGCCAAAAAAAAAATTGGATTTTGAATGTTTAGATATTAAAGGCCATTCTTATCGTAATTTTTAGATTATTTTTCAGGTTGATGAATTTTTCTATTAGATTTCTGTATAGTTTATGTCTACTCGGGTTATTCTTAAAAACAAACGCAAACAAAATTAGGCTCAATCCGCCATATCAATTAAATTAATCTAAAAGACAGGGTGAGGCTAAAAAATAGGATGAATATATGAATGGCGCATATCAATTAAATACTCCTCCGGTCCTAAATATAAGACCCTTATACACACTAGTATAAGGGTCTTACATTTTGGACCGAAAGAGTAGTATTTATAATTGACAGCTTAAACATAGGATTAATATATGAGATTTTATGGTTTGGAACCTCTCATCTTCCCTTCTCATCCCCTTCCCTCCTCTTCCTTTTTTAACCATTGGAATAATATTTTAACAATTCAGATTTAATTTTTTTTAAAAGTTATTATTAAAATATTAAATTATAAAAATAAATAAATAATAAATTACAAACTATATTAAAATTTAATTCTAGTGGTTTGCAAATGCACTAAATGTTTTTAAAATTTTTTTATAAATAGTTTACAAAAATTTAAATCTAAACCGTTAAAATATATTAATCCAATGGTTAAAAAAAGAAAAAGAGAAAAGAGGATGGAAAGGGAAGAAAAAAGGTTCTGAACCAGAGGTTTTATGGGGTAACAAAAGTGAGCTAGAGATCTATTTTGTGGGGTAACATGATGATTGATGACAGCTCCCTCTTCTCTCTCACCATGCATTTTTGATTCGGAGAAACGAAACTATAGAAAAGCAAAGAATCGAAAAGGAGGAAACAAAGAACCAAATGAAGGTGATGGATTGTTGGTGGAGAAATGCAGATTTCGAACTTGAAATTATATGAGAACCGTAGATATCATATCCCCCTTTTATTATGGAACTCAATGCTTAGAGAGGTTAGAAAAGGCGTGTTCCGGAAATATTATTAATTTTGAGCTTGATTATAGTCAGGATATGGCTTCAGTCAAGTTGATAATGATTACAATATAGTGAACATTAAGGTTCCTGATTTATAAATCAGTCCTCACCCTGTCGTTTTCCATAGTTACGATATTTTCCCCCAATTTTTGGACTGTACTTACAATCCCCCCCCCCCAAAAAAAAGTCAGAAAAGCTTGCTTAGTTGAGTAAGAATTGATTAACGGAAAATATCGAAGAAATTGTAGAAGACGGTTACAAAATCAAGTAATAATACCTGAAAGGTTATGAAACAATAGTCAGAATTCGGAAAAAAGAAAGAACAGAAATTGCAAAAGACAGATTACAACACAAAGCTTATATAGATAATCATTCCACTCAGACTTTGAAGGAGGATTTAACAACTATAAATAAATTATGATATAGAGCTTCAACGAATGAATTTACACTAAAACTCTAAAAGTGTTTGATTAACGTAAACTTGAAATTTGAATGCAGGATCAAAATTCTTCAATGTTAATGATGCCGATTTACTAATACAAAGCTGTCCGCGTAATTGAAAATCTTAGTCCCAGTGTCTCTTTCGGGGTAAGAGACATGTCTTCTTTTCCTTATTGGTTCAAAATTGGAAGAGTGAGATCTCACAGAAAGCCTCTTAAACTCATTAGTAGTGAGATTGAGCAGATATAAAATTGTTGTTTAACGTCCATCATTCTCAATCTCATCAAAAGGTAGCAAGACAATCTCATTAATCCAAATAGTCACGGGATTTAAGGTCCCCCATGTAGAAGGGCTGCTAGGATATATTTTAGTCCATCCCCCTCTCTCCTCGTCCTCGTCCTCAGATAGGCATGTATCCTCCTCCCACACCCACAAATGAATCAGAGAAGATCCATCATTTTCTTCAACGCAAGCAACCACAGCAAGTTTGTTCTCATACTCAATAAGGCTTGTACGACGAAAACCACCGTATATGCGAGGCAATGGTATGAACTCACACACTTCCTTCTTTAATAGGTCAATTGGAAGTATTAGATCCTCGTCGTCGCACCACGTAAAATCCCAAAACATAACTCCATTAATAGTGATATATGTAGCACTTGTTGATATGCCCCTTAGGTCGTCTACAACGTCTATGTGCTTCCATGACCCGCAATTCAATGAATAAACTTCCACGGCTTTAATATGATAATGATTATATTCATTAATTCTCACTATCTTGTAATCATTATCAAGAGGACTGAACCCAAATCCATAAAGGTCATCAAGCTCACGAGGATCAATGTGAGTTCTGTAGAACTCTAATCCCACCTCGGCAATGAGGTCAGAATGAACAATAGTTCTGGGGCGCACCTCTCTGATGTCCCTAGTCACGGGATTCCATATCAAAATGGGATGAGGATTTATACCATTCTCAATTTTAACACAGACCAAGCCGTTGCTGGAACCCAACCCCTCATAATTATAACGAGAATGAATAGAAGGCAATTTCTGAACTTTTCCGACTCGCATATCGCAATCCAGCACTCTGAGGCAAATACCTCAGAATTTGCGATGGTACTGTTCAAGGAGAAGCAAAGGGTTTGGACAGCTAGAACAGTGGAAGTGATCTTCGACGAAAGACGCAGTCTTGATGAGATCATTTATCAGATTTTTCCAATCTGTGCACACACATTGAAAGCGAGTTAAGGATCTTACCGGAAGTCTTTTGAAAATGTTAGCCATGATATCCCTGGGGATGAAGCCTACGTGGGCTTCCGTTTCCGTTATCTTCACAGTGGCCGCCATTGGAAAAGGAATCTCAGAGGAAAGAAGTCTGTTGCAGGCAACAATAGGGCGTCGGAAGGTTGTTCTAATTTATTTGTTTATTTCCAGTTTGAGAATAAAAAAATCCAAATAGACTAAACTGAATTATGAATATTATGTGGATGTCTATATCAATGTTTTAAAAGCCGAGCCGGATATCCAACCGGAAAAGGCAGCGGGTCATGGTTTAACCGATTGGATCGGTTCAGCCGCTTGGTTGGACCGGTAGCATAATAATTAAAAAAAATTATATACCCATATGATAATATAGCCATATAGGTATAAGAAATAAAATATCATATTATTTTTTTAAAAAAAAATTAAGAAACACTTAAATATCTCAATTTTATAATGAGTTAACAAGCTCATATGGTATACCTCACAAAATTATTGAAAATAATAAAAACATAAATAAAATAAGAAATGAGAAATAACTCAATAAAACAAACATATATAAATAGAAATTTGAAATTAAAAAAAGAAAAAGTAAAACGATTCCTAGGTAAACGTGTGGGATGGTTGCAGGCATTAAATGAAAGTTATTACTTCTACAGCACTCAAGAACAAACCATCGGCATAATCTTGTTTTCACATCTGAACCCTCTGTTCTTTCAGGATACTGTAGCTTTCGTTTTCCGCGTTCATGGCCGTCGTACCTAGCAGCGTTGGTGGATTCGGATGCTTTGAGGTTGTGTTTTTTCCCCCTCTATGTCATCTTCTTCCATCTTCTCCTTTCTTTCTTGACCTCCTATTTTTCTTCTTCTTCTTCTTTCTTCTTCCTTCTTCCTTCTTCGGCTCACAACTGAGTAAAAGATTCAGGCTGTCCAGTTTTTGCAAAACCGTCCCGGTTTTCGGGCTAACACCGACTTCCGGTCCAAATACCGGCTTAAAGCGGCTCGAAACGGTTTAATTAGCAAAGCGGGTGAATTATGTTAACCAAACTGAAGGGCATTCTGGTCACCGGCCTAACCAGTCCGACCGTCCGGTCCGGTCCGGCTTTTAAAATGCTGGTCTATATACCCCTTCCTCTTCATCTTCTCCAAGTAACTTCCACTTCCTCCACCATCCATTACTTCTCCACTATTCATTATTCCTCCACTATCCATTCACTCTTGTAACCAACTCCATTCATATTTATGGGATTGATTATCTATTATTTGTCATTTAAGGATAATTGTAACCTATGTATAAGACTATGCTTACAAATAGGGCATGCCATTATATTGTGATGCAAGTAAAGCAAGTGAAGGAATACATCATTCTCTCATTTTCTTGTCTACTTCTCTTCTCCAATCTACTTTCATTGTTGGTTAATTTCATAACAGAATCGAGGATTATATATATATTTCTTAAAAATGCATGTAAAATAGCTAAATCCAAAAATGAAAGTAATTATTATTTTGACGGAAAAAGTCAAAACTATTGGGGGAAAATGAAGAAAGTCATGATTATTTTGGGATAATTAATCCACAGCTCCTTATAGTTTCAACTAATTTTGAATCAGATCCTTATAGTTTTTTTCTTTTTATCAGGTCCTTATACTTTTACTTATTTTTAATTAGATCCTTGTATTTATTTTTCTTTCTATCAAGTCCTTATAAGTTCACCTTATTTTTAATTAAGTCCCTGAATTTTTTATTCTTTATTTTATAAATTCTAATAGTACTATTATATAAACATAAGGTAGTGTATATTATTTAATATTAGTTTATAAACAATAATATCCTAAAGATATTGAATTATTATAATGATTTTAATTTTTTCAGCAAAAAAATTAATTGTTCTAAAAAATTTTCCTGAATTAATTAATTCTATTACTTTTTTATTACATAATTATTAATTTAATTTAATTATTAATATTTTATATTTAAATATTAATCTATTTAATTAAGCTTATATTTAATTAATAAATAAAATTTAAAACTACATGGACCTGATTAAAAATTTAGTGAAATTATAAGGGCTTAATTAAAAAAAAATAAATACAAGGACCTAATTAAAAAAAAGTAAAAGTATAAGGACCTAATAAAAAGAAAAAAAACTATAGGGACCTGATTCAAAATTCGTTGAAACTATAAGGACTTGCGAATTAATTAACCCGATTATTTTTACACATTACCGTTGATTTTACTCTGTATTGATTGTCATTAAATATTACTTAATTTAAAAGTAATTTCCTTATTTATTCGGTTTTAATTCATTACGATATTTGGTAGGTTTCATTATTTCAACCGAAATTTATTTGATTTAATTGATTCGTGTTCCATAATTTATTACCATAGTTATCCTCTCTTTATTAAAATATAACTTTTTTAAAAAAAAGAATTCCACAACATTTTATTATGTGATATTAAAGATCATTCTCATCTCACAATTTGCTTAAATAAAAATAGTCGTTTTTCAATTATATTTTGAATTTGATTTGTTTTTTATGGTAATTTTTGGATTATTTTTCAACGATCAATTTTTCAAACCTAAATTTGTGTATAATTATGTACTTTATTTTCTTTTAAAAACAAAGGTCAAAAAAATTAGGCTCACCGGCCCTATAAAGTAGTCTAAACTAAATAAACAGAAAGCTTATTGTACTTGACACACAATCATCGTGGTATAGATTATAGAGTTTTAACATACAAAAATGTTTTCGTGGGATGCTGGAATTTTTTCCTTTTGGACTGAGGATGCGGAATTAAATTTGTTAGATATAAAAATTGGCGATATAATGAAATGACTATAATTTATCGAAAAAAGAATGAAATGAAACAACTCTAAAGTAAAAGAACTTAGAATATTTTAATTAATCGAAATAGTAAAATAAAAGTCCCTCTCTAGGCAAATCGTATTATAAGTGAGAAAACAATGTACTTAAATCTCTAGTTCACTTTTGTTACCCCACATGGTACAAAATCTCATTATATCAATGGAGAACAAGAAAAAGAAAGTGAAAAAAAAAATTAAAAAAAAAATTAGGCTTAGTTGATGTGCGCCAATTCATATATTGATCCTATTTTTTGGCCACCAATTTATAAATCAGTGCTCATCCTGATGTTTTCCATAGTTACGACTTACGATGTTTCCTGGATCAATTCTGTAGTTACAATATTAACTTCCCAAAAATCCCACAACAAAGAGAAAAAAGTCAGAAAAGCTTGCTTAGTTGAGTAAGAATTAACGGTGAATATGGAAAAAATTGTAGAAGGTTACTAAATCAAGTAGTAATAAATTATCATTCCACTCATAACTTTGAAGAAGGATTTAACAACTAGAAATAACTTATGATATAAGCTACTACGAATGAATTTCTCCTGAAAGTGTTTGATTAAAGTAAAATTGCAATTTGAATGCAGGATCAAAATTCTTCAATGTTAATGATGCCGATTTACTAACACAAAGCTTTCCACGTAATTGAAAATCCCAGTATCTATGTTTCTTTTGGGGTAAAAGAGAGATCTTCTTTTCCTTACTCGGTCAAAATTGGAAGAGTGAGATCTAACAGGAAGCCTCTTAAACTCATTAGCAGTGAGATCGAGCAGATATAAAATTGTTTCCTGTCCATCATTCTCAATCTCATGAAGAGGGAGGAAGACAATCTCATTCATCCAAATAGTAAAGGGATTTAAGGTCCCCCATGGGGAAGGGCTGCTAATATATATTTTGGTCCATCCACGTCTCTTGTCGTCCTCATCCTCATCCTCATCCTCATCCTCGGATAGATATGTCTCCTCCTTACGCACCCACAGATGAATCAAATCAGATCCATCACTTTCTTGAGCGCAAGCAACCACAGCAAGTTTGTTCTCATACTCAATAAGGCTTGCACGAGCAAAACCGTATATGTGAGGCATTGGTATCGCTGTACACACTTCCTCCTTTGATAGGTCAATTGGAAGTATTAGAGGCTCGTCATCGCACCACATAGCATTCCAAAACATAACTCCATTAATAGTGGCATTAGTTCCTGTTGATATGCCCCTTAGGTCGTCTCCAACGCCTATTTCCTTCCATGACCCACAATTCAATGAATACACTTCCACGGCTTTAATATCATAAGGATGAAATTCATTAATTCTCACTACCTTGTAATCACTATCAAGAGGACTGAATCCAAATCCATAATAGTCATGAAGCTGAGAATTGATATAAGTTCTGTACTCAAATCCTACCTCGTCAATAAGGTCAGAATGAACAATAGTTCTAGGGAGCACCTCTCTGATGTCTCTCGTGGCTGGATTCCATATCAAAATGGGATGAGGACTCATACCATTCTCAACTTTAACACAGACCAAGCCGTTGCTGGAACCCAAGACCTCATAATTATAAGGAGAATAAATAGAAGGTAATTTTTGAACTTTTTGGACTCGCTTATCGCAATCCAGCACACTGAGGCTGATACCTCGGAATCTGCGATGGTACTGTTCAAGGAGAAGGAAAGGGTTTCGACAGCTGGAACAGTGGAAGTGATCTTCGATGAAAGACGGAGTCTTGATGAGATCATTTATCAGATTTTTCCAATCTGTGCATACACATCGAAAACGAATTAAGGATCTTCCCGGAAGTCTTTTGAAAATGTTAACCATGATATCCTTGGGAATAAAGGCTACGGGGGCTTTCTTTCTCTGCATCGTCACATTGGCCGCCATTGGAAAAGGAATCTCAGAGGAGAGAGGTCCGTTGCAGTCAATATTAGGGTATCGGAGGGTTGTTCT